GTAGTTGCTGTTGCTGCTGCTCTTGGTGGTGCTCTTGGTGTAGTTGCTGTTGCTGCTGCTGTTGGTGGTGCTCTTGGTGTAGTTGCTGTTGCTGCTGCTGTTGGTGGTGCTCTTGGTGTAGTTGCTGTGGTGTGTGTTGCATGGATGACTTTGGTGAAGAAAAAGTACAATTAATATACACAAGATGAATGGAGGTAATGTAAAACAGAAACAGTAAAACAAAAAAAGTGGCATCATCATTAATTACTTACATGTTTTGAAAACTGCTGGCTATTGCTAAAGTAAAAGAAAAGGAAATGGTATGAATTTGCATATTTTAATTCTGATTCAGTAATCTTAATCCGATAAAATTGGTTTCTTACCTTAACATCAGCTTGTAAACGGTAAGGTCTTTTTGACAGATGTCAATGCCACTAAAAAGTTCTTCCACTGTAATAATAAAATCATGTTAGAATTACATAACATACTAATGTATAGCTACACTAAAAATCTTTAAAATGTGGATATACGATGGGTGGCGCACTGTGCTAAAACATTGCCATTCACTCCATAAACAWTACAATGCAGGTTGAGCTAGAGTTGTATTTATAAAATATTTGATTTCCAATAAGGAACATGTATGGAGGATACTAACATGGCCCCACAAGATTCTAACTTTAAAGCCAACTGTGCACAATAATTAAAAACAATCATTGATAGTTATTTGTTATTTTACCAGGCTCTTCTTCACCGCGGCGAAACTTTGCAACTGTAAATAGAAAAAGCTAAATTAATTCAATGCAGTAAATTCAATTTATTGCATGAAATAGAATAGAATATAATGAAATAGAATATAATGAATTAAACTTAGATCATAAGAAAATAACAGTGGATAGTTTCAAGAGATCTCTTAAAAATATTTATTAGCTTTTTAATATTTTGTATATATCATAATACTTTTTAGATTACTCTTTTGTATTTCATAACTTTACATTTTTCTTATCTTATCGTATTTATCTTTTTATCCATATTTTTGTTTATTCATATTTCTTTAATTGTATTGTCGTAAAATTAGTCATTGTATATCCTTATTTAGGGCACTACTGAAAACCATGCTTAGTGAGTAGGTTTCCCTCATTAAAAATTAAAGATTATCAAC